GTGCTTTGTCTGTGAGCGTGCGTATATGTATACTATGTGTAATATAAGTATATAACTGTACATATAATCATATAATTGGACGCCGGAAGGTGCCTTGCATGGGAACTTTTCAAAGAGTCCCGTTCGTACCTTGCCGTTTTGGATCTAGCTTTCAAATGTGTTATATATATATATATATTGATCCAAATAAATTTGTTAAATTAAATATCATTTCAGGCCTAGTCATGCAGCCAACATCGTTCCCCATCACAATGCAAAATTCATCGTATTAGTGGATTAGATATCGCGCTTTGGATTAGATATCGCGCGTTATACTGTACATGTATGCATAATGATTCTGAGTGTCTCAATATCGGGCAACCACAATAACTCAGAGTCAGCTGGTATGGTTAAACCAGAGACCAAGCTTGGAATCAATTTCCGGTTGAGACACTTAGAAAACGTTTACAGCAAGTGATTCCAATAGAAAGTTGCGATTGGCAGAAAAATATACTCAATTACGATTGCGATAACGTTTCATCTTCGGCAAATGCGAATTTGGGCTTGTATGTGTACGAATTTTTACTTTGTAATTAATGCCCTATGTTAATTATACCTAGTAAAAATCATCACACATATTAAAAAATTAGGGAGCTACCCTGGAGCACGTGCAAAATAAGTGCTCCTTAACAGACTTAGCCTTAAAAGCGCGAAGACATACTGTTTTTTGAATCAATACCAAGGTTGTTATTCCGAACATACTAACAAATTAACTAACAACTGAAAGCCTAACAAACTCACGCTTGCAGCGAACATAAAACGATGCCTAACTTCGTTTGGACATCACAATTTATTCAAAGATTCGGTAATACTTTCATGTTTCGCGCACACATATATTTCTCTTCGATACGACTCCAATCCCAAGCCCTTCCTTAACCCTGTAAGTCATTTTTGTCTGACCTTTCTGTAAATGGACTGCGGAAATCGTATTCTTTTCACCTTTGGGATTTTGAGTGAAAAACAGTTGCCCGAGATATCAATTCATAATCGTAATATAAAAATTAATTCCCAGCATAACGTACGCAAAAGAGCCATATAGACAAGAATATATAGACATAAAATTTATATATACGTTGGTTACAGTTATGCTGGGCATTAATTTTTATATTGGGTCATTCCAGAAAACATCCATACCACTCCCACGGAGGAAATTGGAAGTTAACCCCCCTACCCCCTTCGGATGTCCTAATACATTTACTATTATCAGAAACAATTTTGTCTCCCCTCCCCCTCCGGACGGCAGAAATTTCCTCCGTGGGGGGAGTGTGGATCTTTTCTGGAACAACCCATTACGATTATGATTCCAGCCTCAGGACCCGCTTGCATGGTTCATCACTTGCAAGTATATCAATTCATATTTAGGAATATAAATAAATATATGGTTTAAATAGAAAACGAAATATCGTGATGCCAAATAAGGACTCCCAGATAGGGCAACCACCGTTCAGGCCGGCAAATGTTCGGAAATTCGATGAAGCGTATCGTCTTTGGCCATTTTTTGTCGGAATGGATCAAAACAGTGAAAACATTAAATGCAAATTTCTAAGTAACTCACTGCCACCGCAGTGAAGATGTTACGCACTGCATTAAAGTTTGTAAAAACGTACTATTAGAAACAAACACGTACTGACTAATCTAAAAATTAAACTAATGTTAGAAAAGTTATTCAGTTTAAAAGGCTTACCAAAAGTGTTGCTGACATCGCAAAAGTGAGTTTAGAACTTTAACAACTATACAACAAGTACATTAGGCAATCAAATCGCCTGGGGCCGGTTGTATAAAACTCTTAATCACTTTTTTAATCACTATTTTGTAGTTAAATAGTGATTAACTCTCAAATAGGCGCTTCTTATTGGATGACGTTTCCACTTAACTATGATTAACTTTAATCACTTTTTTATACAACCGGCCCCTGAATGTAAATTAATGCAAATAGTGTAAATCAACGTCAAGTGCCTGTGAAGTACCAGTTGTGTTTACATTTCGTGGTAAACTGTATGCTTAATATTGCATGGCCACAAACCAGCAAGCAATCGAATTACAAACAAAGCGCCACGGGTCAAGCACTGCATGCAGCCGCCAACACTTAATTAACTGGCTGCGTTCCAGTCACGCGTTTTTATACGCACGAAAGTTTAAATCTTTTTAAATAGTTAACACTAGTATGAATTACCTGTACAGATGCTCTCATTCACAAAACTATGTGCTTTCCTTTTGTTCATTCAGTATTTCATAAGTAACATTTTCCGTGCGTATATGTACGCACGTATGAAAAACGCGTGACTGGAAAGCAGCCTTTAGGGCCTGTTTATATGATCCCGGCGAGGCGGGACGGGATGCTTACCAAGATCCCGCTTGTAATACAAATTCTAAAGAATGTTTATATGCCGTGATCCCGTCACTTATCCCGCCTGAACGGGATCCGCTCGACAACAGATGCCGGGATCCCGCCTAAACGAGATGAAAAATTCCCATATAAACACTTCATCCCGCCTAGCCGGGACGGAAAATTCCCATATAAACTTAGCCTGCGTAGCAAGCGCTATTTAG